GCCGGCGCGAGGGAGGCGGGCCCCATCTTGCGCGCCCCGCCGACGGGCGGGGAGAAATGGCGTGAGCGGGCGGCGGGCCCCGGAACTCGGGCGGGCGGCGGGGCGCTGCTGCGTTTTCAAAGCCGGCCCCCGCCGCGAAAGTTTCTGACTGCCGAGGGAGGGCCAGTGAGAGATGTGGAGCGGTGCCAGCAGGGGTGAAGTGGGCGAGATGCGGGCACGGTTGCCATTTTCAGGCCGGACTCGGCGCCCGGCGGGTCCCTCCCGGCCGCTTCCCTCGGGGCGTCGGGGAAGGAGCGGTGCCCGTCCTAACAGCGAGCGGGTTCCGCCTAGGGTCGCTGGTGGGGATCCCTGGGCTTCTCTAGAGGGCGGCTTTTACTCGGTCAGGTTACATTTAATTTCTGAACGGCTCCCTGTTGTAAATGTGCCCAGCGTAAGTAGTCATTTGGGAGCAGATTAATCTTCTGGCTTTGCCGTGCACAAAATGATAGGGCAGAAGTTAATATTCTGACGCCGTCCGTAACCAGGGGTGGCCAGTCAAATACCGGGCTGAAGCTGGAGATGCTGGAACTGCAGCTTCCTTACTGCTGGTCGCTGTAGTCAGGACGGTGTAGGCTCGGTGGCTTAGTGGATCTTGTGTTAACAAAGATCGCGTGCTTGAAAATCACCCTTTCTAAAACCCCCTCGGCCTCTGTATTTTAAAGAAATTTAGCACTTAGGTTGGCTGGTGATTACTCATTCCAAAGCCATTGGTGTTAAACCCCGAACGCTGAAGAAGTTTCCAGAGAAACAGTGGCTTTGAGATGGGTTTCCTTAGGGAAGGTAGAAACTACCAGGGGGGGAGTTTTTACCACTTACAGAGTGAACAGAGGCAACAAGCATTAAATGCATTCTACCAAAAAAAAGATGAGGGCCTTGGAAGGAAGGGGCATATCCCTAGTTCAGAGTTTACAATGTGCTAGGTACAGCCGGAGAAAAGTTGTTACGTTTAATCCTTTAGCACTTGGAAGTAGTGCGGAGTAATCGGTGCAGAGCATAAGTTCGCTGCCCAAGTGACACAGTTAGGAAGTGAGATTGTCAGAATCCAGAGTCCAGTCCCTATTCCTGGTGCTGAGCCTTTGGCGCAGGGCCCGGTCCGTGGCAAATAGATGCTCACCGATTGTTGAATGAGTGAGATTTTGTGAGGCAGAGCTTCAAAGCCTTTCTGAAAGTGTTACCTTTGAAGTCTTGCCATAATGTGAATTTGGAAGTTCAGGCTTTGTGAAGGTGTAAGTCTCTAGGGAAGAATAAGAGATGGGAAGAAATGGAAATAGTCCATGTTGTGTGTCCGGCAAAGCAAAAAATCTTAACAAGAGCTTCAGGAATTACCTTAGCAGATACACGATTGTTTTGTGTGTGGCAGTTATTCTGCCTGGAGGCTGAGGGTGTAGCTCAGTGGTAGACCATTGCCAAAATGTGGAGACCTAGGGTTTGATCCCGGCATCATAAAAAAAAAAGGCCAGGAAGTTGTTTCTACTGTAAAATAACTACTAAGTGCACACGAGATTAAATGAAAAAGCAAGATTTTGAGAATATATTAGAGAAATCCATTATGTAAAACTAACCCTAGAAGCTGTAAGTGGAGAAATGAAGTTAATCAGCCTATCAGCTCCTGAGGATATGCTCTGAGGGAAGACTCAGTTCTCAAGAAAAACGTACAGCCAGCTTCAGCTTTCACACGTGGTTTAGCTCTTCAGAATCTTATTTCTTTGCGGGGTGGTGGGTAGCCGGGATCGAACTCAGGACCTTGCACTTGCCAGGCAGGCTCTTGTGCCACTGAGCTATATTCCCGGCCCCAGAATCATATTTCTGTGGCTGTATGTAGTCCAGGCACTTTCTATTGTATAACTGCACCTTCTGCTCTGAAATCATATTGCTAGCCTTCTGAGGATAGGATACAAACCAACTTCAACCCACCTTTCTCTGTAGCTAGTGAGAGAGAAATGTTTTTCTGGGTTAAGAATGTCTAGATCCTGGTTGGGACATTTTAGATATATATATATTTTGAAGACTTTTTTTTGGGGGGGGGGTCTTTCTGGTACCAGTAATGGAACTCACGACCTTGCGCTTGCCAGGCAGGCACTGTGCCGCTGAGCTAAATCCCCAGCCCGAGATACATATGTATATTTTGATGATGAGTATAAGTTAAAATACGAGAATAATTGCTGTTTGACCCTGAATAGGTCGGTCGAGCTCCTGTCTAATCTGATCTCTCTGTACTGAGTGAAGGAAAGCATTCTCAGTAAGTCCTTGATTTTAGAACAGGCAATTCTAGGAAAGAAGGTTGTTCCAATGGTGGAGTCTTACTTTCTTTGGGGGTAGCTTTATAATTTTTCCCCTTATCTTTTTCTGCCCTGTGAGGTATATAAATGGTAGTGTTTGTTTTAAGTTCATCAATTTTACTGACTTCAAATACATAGTTTTGTTCTGGTTTTGGTGTCTTGTTTCTTTCACAGGATGCACTATGCAGTTCCCACTGGCCTTGAACTCACTGTATAGTCCAGATTGACCAGGCAAGTGTTAGCATTTGTATAGGAAGAAATTAGCAAGAGTAACTTGTCCCAAGGCCACAGAAGCCTTTGGAGCCCAAGTTTTTGTTTTCAAGTCCTCTGTTTATTTGACCAGTTTTTCCACATAATTGTTTCTGTGAGGAACCATCCTCATTTTTGATAGTTTCTTTGCCCATGAATAATTACTCCATAGAGTAACTGGGGTACCATGCTTGTGTCGTGAAGGTGACAGTACCTTACAGATAGGTAACCAGAAATGGGTTGCATTGAACATATTTGCATACATGAGAGTGTGAACGGTGGGTGCAAAGGTGAAGTCTTGGCTCCAGAGGAACATACTCTGGAGGAAGTTATGACTGATAAAAGGAAAACACAGTGAGATAAAAGTGCTTTTAAGGTGCTTGTAGCTTCAAATCCAGTGTGGCTCATTTGGAGTTGGCTTGCAGTGAGTGGGAGAAAGGGACCAAGCATTCCAAATAGAGCAAGACCTGAGGACTGTAGTGTAGGGGGCTGCAGGGTAGTACAGCATAGAACCAGAAATTAAAATCCAGAGCACCCTACATGTAAAAGCAAGGACTTGGTAGGAAAGGACTTCCTCCTTTTGAACAAAGGACATTTAGGGTCTAGATGCATTCAAGCTTGAGAGTAATCTGGCAGCAAAATAGGATAAAGTGCCATGGGGTGAAGTAAAAAGTGACTTGACCCTGGGTGGAATCTAGGCACAGTCGCAGGAGGGGTCCTTAACAGCCCTAAGAACTTGACTACTCTGCTATTGGATTTGTTGCTGCAGTTAGCTTTAAGCTCCAGTCCTGGACCGCGTCTTCTATGGGTGGTCTGCTGTAATGCTGAGTGTATACTCCTGGGGAATCTGAGTTCTGCAAGGTCACAGGGAAACCAAGAGTTGGTAGGGAAAGACAGAGCCAGAAAACTAAACCTATAACCAGAACTCTTAATAAATAGTAGCAATCTTAGTTAAAAAAAACTAGTACGAGTAAATCTCCATTATCCATCTTTGCACTTCTTTGCAGTACTGAGGATTGAACCCAGGGCCTTCCTGCTGAGCTGCACCCCAGCGCCTCCTTTTCATTGAGACAAGGTCTCACTGGATCCCTGGGTTACTAGGCTGGGCTCAGACTGGAATCCTCCTGCTATCCCCTCCCACAGTGCTTGCTGGGATTACAGGAGTGCACCAACACGCCCTGCTCCCTATCCTTTTAAAACATTTGAGATTGGGTACTACCAGGTTGCCTATGCTGGGCTGAAATTTGTGCTTCTCCTGCCTCAGCCTCCCAGAGTGCTAGAATTAGAGGCATGTGCCACAGCACCCAGCTGCATCTTTGTGTACAGGTAAATTCAACAGTCACTCCCCTTTTCATATGTGTAGTCTGGGG